TTGAAGTAAATTTTTCAGCTTTAGAAGTTCGTTAAAACATTATTACCTTTTGTCTTATTGTGGAACATGCAGTGTCTGGATGTGGAACATGTGTGTTCCACTATCAGACAACTGTCCTTCCTTTGTTAAACAAAAGCTTTTTTAAATTAGTTTTTGGTTTATTATGTTTGTTCTACCATAAAAACTTATGTTTAGTCTTAATTTATTTTAGTGATAATCATATTTTGGTTGGTTTAATAAACAAGGTCAATACTTAGCAAAATCTATTTTGTGTCTGATTGTGGAACACTCTCCCCTACATGATTGTGAAAAATAATTTATAATTTGCGTTCGCTAGTTCTTCTTTAATATACAGAAAAATAAAAGAGAAAAGAATTTGCACGATTTCGGAGAGTATTTATATTCGACAGTAAATGAACGTGAAATATGGCGATACCGTGTAGTTTTCCATGTCACCACTGAATTGCATGAAAATTTGGTGTTTCACTTTTGGACTTGTGCCGTTAGTTGCTTTTTATTTCTTAGGGATGAAAGCTACTCCAATTCAAAGAAAAAAATCGTAAAATTGTGAATTAAAGCGGGTAATTGATTCAAATTATCTTTAATGAAGTGAAGTCCAAAAGTGAAGTAGAGGGTAAGAGAAATCTAAATCCTAATTTTCAAGCAAATCCGTTGTGACGAGGAAAAATACACTCCACAACGGTCATGTTAAAGGTTCTGATTGATTTATAAAATTACTTATTTGCAATAAATAGAATATAAGTAGGTCGTAATTAAATTCGTCCCCAGGATTAAAACTACCCCTTGGCTAATTTTCTGCCTGCAATAACACACATAAATTGGTCCCCCAGAAGAAAACAAAAAAATAAAATCATAAATTAGTCCCCATGACAAATTGTTTTTCAATATACAGGGTAGGCTCTATGATATATCTTTCAGTATGCAAGCAAATATTTGTTTTTATTGGACCGGAAATAGAAGCAATATATGAAGATTTTTACGTAGTACAGATATTTACACTAATGCATACCCACTGTTTTAAAAAGTAGAATTCTTTTAGTTAGTTTCAGTATTTATTTATTTTTAATTTAATACTGTAGCTGAATGTACCATCGACATATATAATTGTTACTATTTCACAAAAAAATGACATTTGTTAGACACGTAAATACGACAATTTGATTGTCGAAGATCCTCATGAACACAAAATGTTATGCAATTTAGTCTAAAATGAACATTAGTTAAAGTGTACTTTATTTTGTCATTATGAAATATTGATATGTTATGCAGTTATTATCTTTATTTTACAGTGGATATGATGGTTGGAAAGGTATTTTATGATTTATTTAGCATTATGGCTATTTAGCATATGGCTAATATAATATGGCTAATAGGATGACGTTAACTTCCCTTTCTAATACTTGTACCCTTTTTTTTAATATAACTGTATATCTACTTGATAATGTTTTCAATCTTTAAAACTCTTAAATAATACTTTTTAAAAATGTTGACATTCTTTTAGAATATGAAATAATGTGTTCCAATTGACGTTCTGTGACGGGGTGCACATCCATGTAAAATCTAATACCGGTTTCCTATTGGCAGGATTATCGACTACAGACATTACTACTTAGACTAAGTATTTTTATTTGTCATAGTCCGATTATTTTGTATGCGATCGAATTGGTAAATATACACCTCGAAGCGGATATTGAAAATACAAACGTGATATTCAGTGAGGTTTATTATTTTTATAATAAACACTGTCTTATCACCTTAGTTTATTCTCTCTACTTAGACATAAATTTTCCAGCGTTTATATTGGAAGGTATGGAGTATTGACTCTCGTTAAATGCATACAAACATACCAGTGAAAAACTTTATTAACTCTTGGTGTACGTATGAAATATTTTATTTTAATTTTAAAGGAAGAAAAACATATAAAACTTTCTTACATAGGTAAGTATTATGTCTAACTGACAATTAAATAATTGTATCACACCTTAAACCACTGTTAAAATAATATTTATAGGACCATTGAGAGGGATTAAAATTAATTTTTAATTAAGGAGCATGATAATAAACATTTAAACAGGGTCTTCGTAGATATATTTAATTTTGGCCAAGTGTCAAAAAAATAAATATTGTATTTTTAATGACTACAAAGCCTGTTATTTTAAACAATTTTAGTTTTGCATTTCTACACTTGGCTATAGTATTCAACATCAAATTTTTGAAACTTTTAAAATTTTGTTTTTGCGGGATTTTAATGAGACTTTAAAAAAATTGGAAAATAAGATTGGACAAAGATATACATGGTGTACCAAAGAGATAGTATTAACATTAAACCACCTATTCGAGAGTCAAAAATAGCTTGATTAAACCTAACTTACCTTAACACGAATGTGCACACAGAAAAAGTTAAAGCCCTTAGAAGTTACAAAATGAAAACCGATTTTTCCATAAATAATTATGGTAGATATGACACCTTAAATCCACCCAAATGTTTGTGTATGTTACTATTATATTATGAATGAGCCTCCATAAGTTTACCAGAATGTTTTTAAAATTTTTTTTGCCTGAAAAATATCTCAAGGAGAATCCCAGACAGACGAGCATTTCTTTCGATTGATCTTTGTTTTCTGCTGACAGCTATATTGTGATCGCGCCTTGCCAGTAATAGTCATCCAAAAGTGGATCCAAACAATGAGTAAATGAAAGATGCAATTCATGAAATCTCTTGAAGCTGTACGACGGTGGCAGTTACTTAATGAGATGTTTCTATATGCTGGTTTGCAACCAGGCAAAATATGTTGTGTTAACAGAATGTTGCTTCAGCGCATTACGGTAACGAAGCTAGGGAATATCTTTTCCGGAAGTACCTTGGATTTTTGATTGAAAGGAGCCAATACACCTCTAGTTCTTGGCCATGCATTTGTCCAGATCTAAACCCTATTGAGTTTTATTTCTGAAGTTTCATGAGTGGGATGTATAATGAGAACTAGAATCATTAAAGTTGTAAATATGTTTCTGCTCGCACCCATAATATGTATTCAACAAACTGGAGACTTTTCTGAACTTTTTTAAAATACACTACACATGTAAATAGTTAAATAAGATTCAATGTATATTTTATATAATGACATGAAAAGTTATTTCTTATTTTTTTACTCAGAATTTTCCATCATACACTTTTTTTACTCAGAATTTTTGAAGTATAATGAAAAAGGGCCGTCTCGATAAAAACTGGCTTTTCAAAAAAGTACTAAGGGACAAAAAGTTTCAAAAACGTTGTCTAATGGTGTCCGTATAATAATTTAATTATAATGTAGACAAAAAAATATGGGAGTTTAGTGTATCAAAACTACCTTAAGTTTTATGGGATGCACAGATTTCGTTACTTTTTTAAGGTTGTCTTACCAGAAGAAAGCAACGTGTCCATTTTCATTGTATCAATATATCAATTATATCACAAGCACAATCGATTCTTATTTTGAAACTTACTTTTATAAGTTTTTTGTGTTTACATTCGTGTTAAGTTAAATTAGGTGCAATTAGTACAGTGTACCACGGTAAAGATATGGAATAACCTCCGATTTCCATAAATACCCATCGATTTTGATAAAATTCTGGCATTACACCTAGGAAATACCCTACGCACAAATACAAGTCAGTAGTTTTAGCCTTATTTATGGTTGAGAATATCGATTTTTTTGCTTTCATTCAATTTTTCACGAATTACTCAGACTTTACATTTTATAGAAAAAGCTCTTAATAGATAAAATGTATCTTATAAAAAATCAAAAACTGACATTAAAAGTGACAATTTTGTATTTATCATAACAAGAGAACGGTCAATGTTAAGGGAAAAATTCGAATAAAATTTTTTAAAGTACTAAAAGCATTGAAAGGCTGAATTTAGTACCTATATAAACTAACTGAGATGATAAAAATAAGGTCGATTCATATTTTTTTCGTGAAAACAAAACAACAATACTACCCTTGCTATTTCTACCCTAATTGCAATTAAACGTTATACATTTCAAATTCATTTTGTTTATGTATTAGTAATGGGATCTAAAAGTTTGAACAATTTAAAATGAATAATTTTGAAAAAAATTGTGGTTACAGTGAAAAAAATATTCTTGACATTTAGACAAAAAAAAATACCACCTTCTTTTCAAAATAGGTACAAACCTATCGAAGATACGTAAAATATCATCATCATCATCTTTGGCTCGACAATCCTCTGTGGATCTTGGCCTGCTCTAAGATTCGCCGCCATTCTGTTCGGTTTCTGGCAACATGTTGCCATCTTCTGATTTTTAATATCCGTAAGTCGGTTTCAACTCCATTTAACGACCTAATTCGCGGTCGGCTTTTGCTTCTTCTTCCTACAGGTGTTTCTGTGGTTAGCTTTTTAGCAATCGTATTTTCTGGCATTCGTATTATGTGTCCAGCCCATCTAAGTCGCTGTGTTTTAATGAACGTTATGAGATCTGACTCATCAAAGAGCTGATACAATTCAAAATTATATCTTTTGCGCCACTGCACTTGGTCGTTTATAGCTCCAAATATATTGCGGAGTATTTTACGCTCAAATACTCCCAAAAGTCTTTCATCTTTCTGCGTTAGAGTCCATGTTTCTGCTCCATATGTGAGGACCGGCCTTAGCAATGTTTTGTATATAATATATAAACGTAAAATATGCTATAAAGTAAAATTTTGAAAAAATTATGGTTACAGTGAAAAAAATATTCTTGACATTTAGACCGTTTAAAACAAAAAAAATACCGTCTTCTTTTCAAAATAGGGACAAAACTATCGAAGATACGTAAAATATGCTATAAAGCAGAAGTTAATATTTTTTATAGACATTACCGTTATACATATACCAGTTAAATTCGATTTTTTTTTAAATTAAGTTAAAAGGTATTCCTTACTTACTGTTAAAATTCCAATCAAATCAATGTATGTTAATGGAATTGGAGTTAAAAATCTTGGTATACTGCACGACATAAAGCTGTTTTTAACAGGAAACATAATTATATTTGTTGTAAAAAATATATTACTAAAATTGTTTTCAATATTTATTATACACAAAATTAAATAAAAAAAAAATTAATTGTGCTGTTTGTCCATTATCATTCTAATGTATTGGATAATTATGCATTCATTAGGACTATTTATATAATTGTACTAAGTGATAATCTCAATGGCCCGGTTACAATAGGTAAAACATTGTATAAAATGTCCAAATGCAGTTGTTCACCAGAAATATCTTGGAAACTACAAAACTGATCAAATAAAAAAACACATATTTGACATTTGAGTGTTTCACATACAATTTCTAATGAATCTAATAGCAGTAATGTACATGAAAAATAAGTTTTTTTATTATAGTATCTATAATGGTAAAAAATTGTACCAAGTTCCAATTTTTACAGGGCTGGTCCTTTTTTACTGCAGGCGATTCACAAGAGTGGTAATCCCTATATTTGTAAATATTAATATATTCTTGTTAGGTTTTCCCTTTTTATACACCTTGCGACGTTAAACAGCACGTGTCGAGTTACTTCATGGCTAACATTAAAGGATTATAGTTGAGCAATATTTATTCAATACAATATACCTTGGCCTGTACCATCAAATTTAAATATCTTTAAAACGCTCAAAAAAATACTACACAACCAATCTTGTTTGATACTTTTTGAGATTGTGTAACTATGCTATTCTACATTATTGGCCCTCGACCAATAATGCTAAATTATCTTTATATCTTTTAGTACGATATCCCATTGCAATATCACTAAGTTTATATAGTAGTTAATCAAACTTACATTTTTACATATATTTAAAAATAGGAGAATGTATTGATCACAGGCTGCCAATCAAAAAGTGGCCACAAATAGTTTTAATTCAATAAAGGGTAAGTCATTTTTGAGCAAAAATTTTGTTCATTTAATTTTTAAATAAAATACGCTGCTCGTGATTTAAGCGTCGATAGGTAGTTTTAATAATATACATATTATCACTTGTTATACCAGTATCGTTGCGCGCCGATTCTATTTTACTTTATCTTTGACCTCTCGCGTTTTTAACAGCTAGCAACCCCAATTTGCGACCATTTTTTCTCGGTCAACCTTATATCATCGTATTAAAAGAATATTAGCTTTAATTTTATATAAAAACATGCATATAGTCATGAGCAGCGTATTTGATTTAAAAAAAAATTAACGAAATAAAATTTTTGTTCCAAAATTAATTACCATTAATTAAATTAAAAATATTTGCGGCCACTTTTTAACTGGCAATCTGTTATCAATGTATTCTCCTATTCTTAAAGGTATATAAAAATATGAGTTTGATTAACTACATTATGAACGTAGTGATCTTCCATTGCGATATTAGACTATTTGATATCACCTGATATTTTCCAGACCTACAAGCTTTAACAATTTCACATTTTGAATTTGTTTGAGTGATGTTTAAATGGTACACATTTCAATAGAAAAGATCATATTTATAACTTTAATAATTGGCATCCTGTAATTTGATTCAATGTCATATTGCACAATATCTTTGATAAACAAGTAAACGTTTTCCCAATACGTTTTTTAACGACTTTAACCATTGGTCATACACCCATTTTTGATATATAAGTTTAAATTGTAGTCTAGTGTTCGTGTGTGAAGTCCATGTCTTATTACTAAGGTCAAGTCGGCTTTCTTGTCTTTACAAAGAGTCATTTATTATTTCCTAATAGTTATCTTACTTTCTTCTCTTTTTTACCATGACATTTTAGCTCTGCTTGCTAGATTATTTCTTGTTGAAGCAGTATGTATTCATCAAAGTTTTACCTGAAGATGATGTAAACGAGTTGATCCCTACGCTCTTAAAGCCTCTCTGTGGCATGCTGTTTCCGCTTGAAGGTCTCCATCATTTCACGATCATCTACGCCTACCTCACTTCTTTCAGCGTGGTGAAGCCTAACAAAACATCTTCTTTCTGGCATTTCAAATAGGTGGCCAAGTCACTTTGTTATCTTCCGAAATTTCACTATCAATTTCAATGACCTTAATCGTCGTTTGAATTCTGTATTAGTGGAATGATTAAGAAATCGTTTCAGTAACAGATAACCGAAGCTATTAAATATTATTTTTATTTGAGATTTATTTATTTCACCAAGTAAGTTCAGATAATCTACAATTTTTATGCTGAATATTGTGTTTTATTTAACTATTTCCCACTACATCATTATCTACTACTGCCCCTGATACCATATAATATTTCAACTCGTTGACCTTATGTATCTTCACCAATAAGTACATCAAATCTGGTTTCTCTATTTGTTAGCAAATATTCTGTTTTTCACGAATTCCAGTTTAAGAGCATCTAAACCGCTCAAGAATTGTTGAAAAATTGCGTATCTAAATAACTGTTGATTCATATTGTCTACAGTAATTTATTTTCTATATCTATATAATTCTTCTATGACCTACCTTTCTTTACAATTCTTTGTATAGAAAGCATTAATTTCTTTTGATATGCTAGAGTTATTCGTATAGTTTCTAATAGCCTTTTGTTGCGCTTAAGCATTGTATCTTTGTTCCAGTTATTCAAGAAGAATAAACAAAAACTGATTCAAGGTAAAGCACATGTCTTAAAAACATGATAATCTAGTGAAATATTTTGTTTACCATACCTCTTGGGTAATATTATACAGGTAATATGTGCAATATTGTCTATCAATAAACTCATAAATTATTTTCTGATACTTTAAGCACTGTAGTTTCCAAATTATTGCTGGTATTTAGTATATTAGAACATTTTATATACTTTGATAATTTATATAGATATAAATGTATGGATTTCTAACAATTACTAACATTCAGAGGAAATTGGTATTAATTATCACAGATAAGGTAAATATCAGACTAGATATATATAAGGAATATGGTCGTCTATAATAATAATCATAAATTATCGTGATAGGTATAAATATATAATATGCAAAATACTAAGGACACTTATTTTTTGGTCACTTCTATGAGTATAGGGTAATGAATATTATCATCAAAATCACAATTATCCAAAAGTGCTAAGCGTTTTTCCCAAACAACATCGTTATAACTCAATTTCTTTTTACACGTAAAACCTTTTTCCTCGGATTGTTTGATGAACATATCCAAGGTGGAACCTCTTTGTGGAGCCATGACGTAAGCGGTGCCATCGCTGGCCAAACAGCACCAAATACAGTTAATTAGATCGGTTCTTGCGTCGTCAAAGAACAGGCAATCAGCACACAGCACAACGTCGTACTGATCAACAGGTTCGCAAGATGACCATTGGAGAATACTACATCCGACTTCACTAAGGAACGTGTTGCATTTGAGTGTCACTTGGACATTATCGATAGAAACCTTATTACCATCGGTAACTAGAACACTCTTAGCGTGGCCGTATTTAGCAGCGAACAGTCCTGCTAGGCAGGACATGCCTCCACCCAATTCTATCACATTTTTTTCTTTAAATATTTCTAAATTTGAGCAAACAAAGTAGCTTAAAGTCTCCTCGGATGGCCATATACAAATATTACCCGTGTTGTTGAACCCCATTAAATCCTCTGCGGAAAAAGTGCGGTTTCTGTGGCCTACGTTTATGAAATACTCGCTACCATTTATGCATATCGAATATTTATACCATGTATATTTTTTAATTTGGTCATGCTTTTGGTTATCTCTACTGACTAAAGGTAATGAGGTGAGTTCTTGCGTTTTTAACAGCATGAAGGACGAAATTCGACGTACAGAAAATTCATCGGTTGGACTGGAAGGTTGACTTTCCGTGGGGCTCTAAATAGAAAGCTATATTAAAAAAATATAACATTTACAGCTTTTCGTTTCAAATATGTAAATATATTTAAGCAAATTGAATTTATTCAGTTGGTTATACTGTACAAACTCTTTCAACACTTCCTGCAATTTATATCCAAATATATACGCTTTGGTCTCACTAGGACTAGTTTCGTGGTATTTGCGGTTTACAGCTACAGCTAGTGAGTAGGCCGAACACAAAATAGATAAGGCGAAAATCTCGGGCTCTTTCAAAAAAATATACCCACCAGATTTTTTTGCATAGTGACTTTCATGAAATACCCCAAAATTAGTCCAGGCGAAAAGTTGTTTAATTTATTTAAACATTTTTTTCAATTGTAACATTAAATTGTTTTGGCCCGGACAACTTTTTTTGAACTTTAAGAATCAATCTGAACAAAATATGTCTCTTCTAATTTTTCTGTAAACTTGATCGTTTTCCAGGTATAAACAATTTAAAACTGAAAGCACTTTTGAAGGCTCAAAAACACACGTAAAAATATTATTTTTGAATTCACCTTTTTGGAACCTAAGTTCAAATTCAAACCTTGTCATATCATTTACCGATAAGTACAGTATAGCCCAAAATACACAGTACCGAACTTATCTTATTGTTTTAAAAAATACATCTTATTGACACTTTATAACGTGTTCTAAATGAGCTCCTCCTCTCTCAAGACATACTTCATAACGATATTCCAGATTTCTCGTAATGTTATGGAATAAAGGTTGTCTCAAGTCCGCGAAGAAGGCTCTAACGGCATTTTAACTCATTGATGGTTTGTAGTGCCCGGTTAAAAACGGCTGTTTTAGCCATGCTCCAGATGTATGCGTCTGGAGATGTTAAGTCTGGAGATGTTAAGTCTGGAGAATGTGCAAGATAGGGGAAGTCAGTAAATTGTGAAATGAACTTGTTTGGAAAATGTCCCTAAAGAAATTGACGAACTGCGACAGCAGTATGGCAAGTTGTCCCATCCTTCTGGAAAAATTGGTCTCGAAATGTCAAATTACGCGCACGACAAAATTGATGTAGATCAGAGATAAAGCGTGTTAAATTTGTATGTACCTCTGTTGATTAAGCCGGATTTATAAACGGAAATAAACATAATTTTAGTCTTTAACCATAATCTTATAAGCATAACGTTGAAAGTTAATAAATAAATGTACCTATTTAAAAGCATTCATAATACATAAAACATAAATTTAGTCCTTAAAACGTGACCTTCAAAGTTGGTAACTTTCAACATTTATGAATTAAGTATTAAACATTATGGAATTGTTGGAATATGCGCATGTGTAATCCAACGTAAAAAATTAAAGAACTGTTCCTCATCCCATTCCTTATCACGCTTTCTATTTATGAGTCTTACACTATACCTTCTTACTCTTCTTTGCTTGTTAAGAACTCTGGCAGATATAGTCGCTACAATTGTTAAATAAAGTGGGACTGCTGCCATGGCCAAAGCAACTTTTCTATTAATCTTCATATTTATTTAAAATTATTTCACTTTTCTATCAATCTAAAGATCAGAAAAAATTCTTCAAGATCTATAAAAATTTGGTTAGGTTTGTATTTTCCAAAGTAGTTTTTAAATATTATGGTTAGGTATTATGTCTAGTTATAAACCAATCTTAAATCTTGTGAATTATGATTGTGGTTAAAGTTATGTTTATGACTTATGATTATGTACTATGTCCGTTTATAAACCTGGCTTTAATGTACCCATTTAAAAGCATTCATAATACATAAAACATAAATTTAGTCCTTAAAACGTGACCTTCAAAGTTGGTAACTTTCAACATTTATGAATTAAGTATTAAACATTATGGAATTGTTGGAATATGCGCATGTGTAATCCAACGTAAAAAATTAAAGAACTGTTCCTCATCCCATTCCTTATCACGCTTTCTATTTATGAGTCTTACACTATACCTTCTTACTCTTCTTTGCTTGTTAAGAACTCTGGCAGATATAGTCGCTACAATTGTTAAATAAAGTGGGACTGCTGCCATGGCCAAAGCAACTTTTCTATTAATCTTCATATTTATTTAAAATTATTTCACTTTTCTATCAATCTAAAGACCAGAAAAAATTCTTCAAGATCTATAAAAATTTGGTTAGGTTTGTATTTTCCAAAGTAGTTTTTAAATATTATGGTTAGGTATTATGTCTAGTTATAAACCAATCTTAAATCTTGTGAATTATGATTGTGGTTAAAGTTATGTTTATGACTTATGATTATGTACTATGTCCGTTTATAAACCTGGCTTTAATGTACCCATTTAAAAGCATTCATAATACATAAAACATAAATTTAGTCCTTAAAACGTGACCTTCAAAGTTGGTAACTTTCAACATTTATGAATTAAGTATTAAACATTATGGAATTTTTGGAATATGCGCATGTGTAATCCAACGTAAAAAATTAAAGAACTGTTCCTCATCCCATTCCTTATCACACTTTCTATTTATGGGTCTTACACTATACCTTCTTACTGTTCTTTGCTTGTTAAGAACTCTGGCAGATATAGTCGCTACAATTGTTAAATAAAGTGGGACTGCTTCCATGGCCAAAGCAACTTTTCTATTAATCTTCATATTTATTTAAAATTATTTCACTTTTCTATGAATCTAAAGAACAGAAAAATTCTTCAAGATCTATAAAAATTTGGTTAGGTTTGTATTTTCTGAAGTAGTTTTTAAATATTATGGTTAGGTATTATGTCTAGTTATAAACCAATCTTAAATCTTGTGAATTATGATTGTGGTTAAAGTTATGTTTAAAACTTATGATTATGTACTATGTCCGTTTATAAACCTGGCTTAAGTGTGACTGGCTTGATTTTCTTCGATAAAGTATGGTTATAAGTATATATATATATATATATATATATATATATATATATATATATGCAATACAAATGAAAATGTGCTTCGTCTGAAAACCATACATTTTTCAAAAATTCAGGATTTTCATACTGTAAATCAAGAATTCTGGCACAATATTCCACTCTGCTGTGATAATCCCTGAGATATAATTATTGATGTACCTGAATCACATACGAAAATGCACCCAGCTCCTTCAGGATTTTTTTCAAGGAAGTTCGTTTTAAGCCAAGATGCAACGCTGTTCTTGTCTGGCTGGCTTTCGGATTTTCCAATATTCGCTCAAAAACACGTTCATGGTTATCGTTGTTGTTAAAGGTCCTGGGACGCACTGAGTTTTCTTTTCATTGGCACAATACATTATCTGTATTTCTAAACTTTTCAACAACCTTCAAAATTGTAGCATTACTTGGAGAACGTTTATTAAACCGTTGTGTGAATTGATCACACACGTATTACAGACTTACACTATTACGTCGGCCGATTCGGAGGAGAGGAGAGGAGAAAACACTTTCTCATCTGTACTTAACACCATTTTTAACAATTAGACCTTAATAATTAATTGTTTAAGGATTAGTTGACAGGTCTATACTAGTTAATTTGAATACGATAGCGCGCACAAAGAGCGCGCACATCTATGTTTCAGTTTCAGTACGTTTTATTTTGGGCAATACTGTATTTTGGGCTTATTTCATTTTAAAATATTGGTTTTTAATCGTTATTAAAGCGCTTATGACGGGACGGACGCTCGAGCTTCGGCGTGTATAAGAGAGAGAAACAAGATCTATTGCACACATTTTTGCTGGTTTGAATTCTCATTGTACAAATGAGCGCCCGCCCTGCCATAAGCGCTTCATTAACAAAAATTATTAAAAAACAAAGTTTTAAAACAAAATAAGTCCAGAATTTTCTTTGGGAGCTGATATAAGAAGGCTCGAACTAGAATTTAAGGATTTGATGATTTCAAAAATAATATTTTTTACTTATGTTTTTGAGTCTTTTGCGTTTTTCTCAGTTTTAAATTATTTATAACTCGAAAACAATAAAGTTTACAAAAAAACTACAAGAGACATATTTTGTTCAGAATGATGCAGAAAATTGTTTGGGCCGAATATAATTTGTTTAAAAAAATCGAACACTTGAACCTTATTATGGGATATCTCATGAAAGTGATTATTCAAAAAAATCTCATGGGAATATTTTTCCGAACGAAACCGAGTTTTTCGCCTTGTCTACAAAAAACTTCTGTAATTAGATAATACCATGTACTTAAAATTTCTGTTTTTGAGTTTTTGTTTCATATTTGTTTTTCTGCTTTTGTTCAGAACTAGATTATGAGCCGCTAGTACCGTGAAACTGGTTTTAGTAATGCCTAAGCGTCAACTTTTAAATATAAATGGTGGAATATCACGTCTCTTAGATGCAAAGTCTCTTTAAATTAATGTAAGTCCAACATTCATAATTAAACAGAAATCAAATATGCATTTAAAAATATTAATCACTAAGAAAAAAGCAAATTAGTTATCCACTATAAAACCATGCACATGGAGAGACTAAGCAGAAATACATCGGTACAATTCTTGGTTCCTAAGTTTATTTAAAAAATAAAAAAAAAGTGGAATGTTGGGAAATGTATGTGTAGTTTTATTGCATTTCATCTTATTTAAATACAACAATTATATAAATACAACAACGAATAAAAGGCAAAAACGAAGAATAAATACAAAACGAAGTAGCTGCAACAATATTGGAAAAGGAAGTAATAAGAATATAGGAAAAATATATTTTGAAGACGATAGAACAACCAATTATAAAAGAATCACTTTACTTTATTAGAATTTATTAGAAAAATTTACAAACATAGAAAAAATGGGTAATATAGTAAATTAGTTCGGAAAGAATACCAAACGACTAAATTTTTATCTTAAAATCATACAAAAAAAAATAGGTATTAACAAAATTTAGGTTTACACATGTTATTTATTGATTTTCAAAAGCCGAAAACATAGACCAGCGCGAATCTGTGAAAAAGCGACTAAATTTGGATGTGAGAGGTGGCGTTCGAATTTTTTCAGAAATAGTTGGGTGATAA